GGTTGTATGGCTACTGTCTAAAAACGTAGCGGTAAAGCTTCCTCCTTCCTTTCGTTGAATTTGTAAAAATCGATGAGAGATGACTCCGGCCTCTAAATGCACAAACATTATGGTAACTTTGATGAATGAAAAAACAGGACTGAAAAAACTTCATTAATCTTTGATTACCTCTTGCTCAATTATCTACTTTCATCCATTGTCAACCCTTTCAGGGCATGATGTTAAGAAAAGTAGAGAGGTGATCGCCGGCTTACGAGGATGTAATGCGGCGCTTGTTTAACTTCTTGACTTGTTATTGCGTCGTTATTTGCCAAGGAAGCTCTAATTAAGTGATAGCCTTAACCTAAAGACGTTTAATTTGATCGATAACCTTCAGTCAAATCCAACAACTGTTTTGTTACCTTTTTTCGGAAGAGCCATATTTTTTTCCTCTACATAGCCTAAGTGGTTAGTGAAAGTCGCTGAATGAGCCACACATCGAGACTCGAATCAGCTAAATTTTTCCGTTTCTGGTTTTTTGGATTTGTTGCCCTTGCTGCAAATCTTGTATTCGAAATCAACTACGTTGGAGAATCAAACAGCTCACAACTGACTGTATCCAGCGGCTGGATTTCCTGGATGTAAAGGTATCAAAGCTTTCAATAGCTGTGGTATATATACAATTGGGATATAAAACCACGTAAAGGTTATTAATAGCGCCACCGAATTAAAATAGCATATAAAATATTGTGTCGTCAATGAGAGACCTGGGGCGGGTTGTGCGAAAACCAATAAACATCAATTATGGGATAACTGCATACAAAACATTTACGTTGCTATGGCAATCAAACCAGGATTAAAACCAATCGCTCTTCGAACAACTCGGCCTTGCCCAATTTTCTTCGACTCAGAAATTTTGACATTTTATTAGCCTGGAACAGGATTGCAAAAATTGGGTTTTCAATGATACAGTACGCCATGAAAAGTAAGCGCGCGTTTGCGAATTTCTTCGGCTTACGTGACCAAGGTTTGCGTCTCAAGTTGACTAAAATTCCTGCAGGAAGCTAACTCTTGTGAGAGATACACGGGAGGTGCGTCGTAAATGAATATTTTATCAGTGAGGCACTGAGTTATAGAATACAAATAAGAATTTACTCTTGTTTCTTAGGCTGGTTTTCTATTTTTTTGTTCAAGTGGGGAACCAAAGCTGAAGAATCAAAACCCCCAAAGTTTTCATGTCTCGAGGTATTCTCAGCTGTGACTAAAAGTTAACAAAATGAACTCTAATATTTGGATACTATTCATTTTCACTTCTCAAATAAAGTATTTTACGTCTCAAGCCAAGATAAAGACAAAACCTCAAGAAGTAAAAAGTTAAGCCTGTATGACATCTTCATACAATAACTATCATCAAGATGTTTCGCATTCAAACAAAGAAGCAGGTGAAAAAAACCGAAAAAACTTAGGTAATTTACATATATTATAGTTACCCTGAATATCTGTATCTGTGATCAAATGTGAGGGGTCGATCGAATACATTTATATTTTAAAAAAAAGCGTAAGGTTACAAGCTGAAGAGATCAGATAAAGACGTCAACATGCCACAACTTAATAGCTACCAAAAAACTGTCAGGCATGGATGAACCGAAACCGTTGGCTTTGGCTATTTAAGTATTTTGTTCCAGTGTTCGCTAAACTATTTCAAAATTAATGCGTTCAGTTAATCAACATTAAATTCACAATTGTCTTCCATTAATTAAAGGTATCAAGCTGAACATATGCCCAGAGGTCAATGCTGTAAAAATTCGGGCCAATATCTGTTCTCCGCCTTTTGCTTTTCCGCGTGTTGAATAAACCCGCAGTTTTCCTTACTCGACGATGACGATGATATCGTTTCGTGTGGCTCTGCTTGTAGTGATCGCTCTGAATCAAATTGCCAGCAACGATTTTTGGTCGCAAAGAAGATGTTGTGCCAATGCTGAACAACCTACAACAACCACCGAGGACGAGGTAAAGCGCGAAGCCAAGTCTCTCGTAGAAATTGCACTTCGCAGAGTCGCAGATGTCGAGCGACAGCTTCAAGAACGGAATGGCACATGTGATAAGGTTGATTTACTGAACATAACTTTTGACGAAAGGAGATGGAGGCAAGAAGCTCTTTTGACGGTACAAGTGGCTAACCTTATGACATCGCTGTGGCGCTCGCGCGGGAGAGACGGTGATCCCATTGGAGCTAACGACGCGCTTCTGTACCACTACGTGCGCTCGATCGTTTTATTTTCGCCGTCTGTCTTCGGTTCAGTGATTTGCTTTGACAACTATTTGTACAAGAACTACACAAGATTTTGTCCCTATGCATTCAGGGATCCCGAGTTAAAAAAAAGTGTTCATGTCATAGATATAGTTTCGGCGAGTCAAGGTTACGACTACACGACGGACGAAAACGCGATTTGGTGGCACAAACCTAAAAATAAAGCGCTTACATTCCGTCCCGAGAGCATCACAAGCTATTATCAAGTACGATACAATTTAACCCACACGGATAAGCTGAAAAAACGGGTCTTCCCGCATGTGACATTTAAAAATGGGGCATGGACACGACCTTACTTCGACTGCTTTGGTGGAAAGATTTGGATGGTGACCTATCTCGCTCCTTTTTACAACGAAACGGACGACTTCCTGTGAGTATCATAACCCAAGCTATTTATTTCAACTCGTGCTATTTGTGCGCATTTCTCATTTTTAAAATTTAGAGTGACGACATAACGCAGAGAGGATTGCTTCGGATGAGTATGATGCTAGGCAACTAATTGGTTTTCTTCACTTATTTCATACATTTTTGAAAATTTTTAGAAGCTTATTCTCCAGTTTTTTTCCCTTGTCTCGGTGATGCAGTCGAGTTACACCGGTAGCAATATAAGCTGTCTTGGAAAAATTTTGTTATAGAGCAATGGGAAGGGTACAACTTAATTACGGTTTGTTTGATTTTACATAATATTTTGACTGACATTTTAGAATTCAAATTTTTGCGTAAGCTGAGCTTTTTATTTGAATAATCTGGCCTTAAAATTCTGCCCATTTCTCCCCCCTTCTCTAGTATACGCTGTGTCACTTTTTTTCCTACAATCTTGAATTCTATACTAGAAAAGCTGTCGGAACCATATTCTCTACAATCTTCGAAGCGAAGATCTTTTGATATTTCAAAACCCAAATTAAGAGCTCTGTCACTTTGGTAGAAAATCCTTACACTTCTCTTTGTATATATTGGACTGCACAAATCATGAACGATCCGATCTGAGCAACACAACTGATATTGCTAAGAAAAGATTTGAAAATTAATAATTGAAAATTACAATTTAAAAAAATTGGTGTTTCCTAACATGAGGAACTTGGTTTACAAGTGCTCACCATCTGATAATAGATAGCAGTGCCTAAATGCAACGAAACATTGTCTTTGAAAGCAAACCTTAATTCATCAGCAAAAAAGCTTTGAAAAATTCTGAGTTGAATAAACAAGTTGTTATTCATGTCCTATATTCCATGAACTACGTAAATACGATGTAATGCGATTGGTAGACTGGACGCAAACATGACACGAATATATATATATATTTTTTCTAATATGGCAGTGTATGTTTAAAAACATGGCGTGCTCCAATTAATTGGATATGAGTAAAAGGTTGTACTTTTCATCACAATAAAAAATTAGTAAAGACTGTTCAAAGATAAGCTATTGTTTGCTGGGCGTTAAAGCAAGTACAGTAATCCTTATTCTTGCATTGAGAATGACTTCACCATTTGTTACGACTTCCGATTTTTTTTCTTAATTTTTAGACATCGACTGATGACTTTATAACTATAAGAAGTCAGCGCTCACAAGTTTGGCACTTTGTCGTTTAAAGTCATTATGAAAATGATGTACTTTCCATGATTACTTACATTTCCTCTCACCATCATTAGATATCGAAACAAATTATCAACCGAGCTTTGCCTAAAAATAGAACACCTACTCGGCGTGGTGATATTGACGCCAATAGTCTATATCACAAGATATATATACGAGGAAATTTCTTGAGATCAAAGATTATTCAAGTTTATGTTTCTTTTCTCGTGAGTGTTTATCTGAGAAAAAGAAAACCACACACCCAATGATGCACACAAATACAAACAAAAAAATGGAAAAAAAAGAGAGAAACGAAAAACACGCGAAGAAACACAGTGAGATAAAATGAACAATATTTGTTATCTTGGTTTCCATTGACACCTGCTGTCACGTCAAATTGTAAATATACAAATATTGCCTTACATTTTTCTACAACTGGCGAAGAAACCATATTTGTATTTCTCTCGAAAGTAAACTAGTGTTATCCCACCAGTTAAAAACTACCACTCAAAATCGATCCTTTAGGTAAAATGCAACATTTCATGCTGCTAGCACTACGCATGCTCCCAATCATTGTCGCATTGTACCAAAACATTATATTTAGCAGGAGGTCAGTACGAAATAGCAATATAGATATGGACAGGTTTAAGTGCGTTTAAGACCTTGAAAAGAGCGGTTAAGACGAAAAACTTATAAATTCTAAAATTAGAAATAAAAAAAAAATTATAAAAATTATACGAGCATATGCATTAAGAGCGCTTTTCAATGAAGTGTCTTAATACTAAAGCCAAAGTTGTAATAATAATGACCAATCAGAGTAGAGGAAAAAACCGTCCATGAGAACTCAAAGTAAAACGAACCAAACTATCAGGAAAACGCGCGCAACCAAGTCGTGATTGGTTTAAGTTTTACTTCTGATTGGTCACCAGTCGGGAGTAAAAGAGGGTAGCGAATATTTCTGGACCAATCACACAGCGAGGTGAAGCAAAACCAATTCAAGTCAGGATTACTTTCAGTATTCAATTGAAAATTGCTCAACATAATAATTTTGTTTGTTACATGTTATTTATTTTTTTCCTTTTCCTTAAAACGAACATTTCTTAACGAAAAAAAAAAAAAGGAACAAAAAGACGCATACCTTTCAATCCAATTAGTTTCACGGTATAATTTAATCGACAGAAAGACCACTTCAATCCTACAGACCCAACTACTTAAACGAGAATTGCAATATTCTTAAGAAAGAGCGAATCCTAAAGGCAGTACGGTAATTATCCTCAACAAGCTTAAGCCCATTACAATCTATTTCTTAGCTCACCACTGACACAAACACACATTTGTCTCCAAAGTTCCTCGAAATGAACAGTCTTCTACAGTAGCTCTCTCTCGGTATAGCTTTCCCAACCGTAAGTCACTCCCGACAACAACAACAACAACTACTACTTCTACACAACTGAGTTCTTATATACACTCACAAAGTATTCTACATGAAAGTTTACAACACCACTATTTTGGTAGTATTACATCACGACTACAAGACCTAATGGAATGCTCCAGAAAGTTCAATGGTATGCATGTCAGCTTGGCTGAGAATTCTAGAAAGTTCTACATATTTATCTTACGGGTATTATCAATAGCATTGATGTCTCTAATCTCTGTTTTATGGTTGCTAGAGGTGTGGTCAGTATCGATGTGGTACTTAGCGACATTGACATTAACCAGTGTGACGAGCAGGAGTCCTCTGAATCTGATGAAGGAGAGGGGAAAGGACTCGGATATGCATCTGATAATTTAATGGAATTCATGGGTACTCATCTCTGCAAGAAATCAACAGAGGTAAAAGTCATATTTCTAGAAAGGTAAAAAGAATGTAAGCAAACCATTTAGCTCTGGTTTATATGAAGTAAGGAACGATTTTGATGGTAATCGTTTGCCTGAGTTTAAATGAGGGAGGCCTCTTAGCCTTCCAATTGTCTTTGGTCAGTTCTGATCCGTCAAGAAGTTAATTTCGTGGTTTGTAAGGTGTGGGTCGTAATGAAATTTGTTGAGAGGAGAATGTTCTAAGTTGATACCAATAGCTTTCAGTAGCACCCTACGGAGTAAGTTGGAAATGCAGCGGCTTGAAGTTAGCGCTCTGGACTTCGAGTCGAGATCGAGGTCAGGATTCGAGAATTGGCCAGGTAGTTGCGTTTTGTTCTTGGACAACAGTGCTTCTCTCTACCTGGGAGTAAAGATGAGTAGCAGTACATTAGTAGGAAAACCTAGAAAAAAATAATCCATAGGGACAGATTATGGAGTGGCATTCAATGATAGAAGAGTAGGCAAACTCCTTGCCGCCTCAAGCGACGGAAACCGGGATAGGCTCTGACCGGCGTGAGGCATTTGGCTCAAGAGTACACCTTTATTTTTACCTCTTTATAATGCTAGTAAGATAAACAGTTCTAGATTGACCAAGAGAACTTAAACTGGGGATGGGAATAAGTTCTCTCGGTTTATATTCTCTTGCATTGATGTAATACGATCACTGACTGTGATGGACAAGTACACGAAAAGAAAACTGCATCTTGGTAACGGCCACCGCTCTTATTGTGTTTCTTGAAACAGTGTCAAGCAATCCACAATCAAGGATTCAGGCGAGGGAGCTACATATGCACATGTAAGCGAGGCTTTTACTTCCCTGACAGTCAGGCGTCTGTAAAGGCTTTTAATGGAACCCTCATTGAGCTCCAACACGATCGATATCTACGAGGCGACCCAAACTCTTACGAAGAGGACTTCGAATGCATTCGTTGCAGCGTTGGATGCGACGAGTGTGTTGACGACAAACCATGCGTTTACAGCTCTAACAGCTATATCCGTTTACCGCTGTTTTTTCTGAATGCACTCGTTATGTGTGTGGCTGTAGCATTTGCTGTATGCGTGGGAATACACTGGAATAATAAGGTATGCTAAATTTATTATTCTCTATTTGGAGAAGCAGACAGATTATGTGTAGCAGCATAGAAACAAGCATATCGTGACACCAAATGATTCGATGCCATCACAGCGCAAGCAAGTGTGACAAAACTTTTGTGAAAAATTTGACCGCCACGTTACTTTGTCATTGGCTTTTCAGTGTTTTCTGGTAAGGCTAGATCAGAAAGCTACATGAAGTGCATCCAGTTATGTGCCGCATTCAGGCCAATCCTGATTATAGAAGAAGGATAATTCGCATTGAAATAAATAATACGATCAGGTTTAAAAATTAGCTTCTCCAGAACTTGTCTTTGTTTTGATTACTTTTTTCTAGGTGTATCGCTTTTTTTTTTGTTTTCAGATTTTCAAGGCCTCCAGCACGCGCTTCATGGAAATAATATTGTTGGGCGCTATGTTAATGTACTCAAAGGTAAGCATTCTCCTTCATAATTGTGTCTTTGTAACCTTGTTATTCCGCTGTCGTTTTTAAGCGTGATTATTTGCGTCTATTTCCAGCTCATCGTTTCATACTTCGAACCTACAAGCCTCCGTTGTATTGCACGACCCTGGTTGCGTCATATTGGATTCGTTCTGGTGTATGGATCGTTGGCACTTAAAACCTGGAGGTATGTGTGCATTTTCATTTCGTTAAGTAATTTTCTATAGAGAAGTAAACAGGCTCACAAACAAAAGAGTTGGCGAAAGGCAAAATGAAAGACTATCAGGAAGAAAGGCAAACTGAAAAAACAGCCTGAGCCAATAGGAGGTTCTCAGCCGTAAAAAGCCATTAATCCTTCGCCACCTCAGATAAAGACAAGCCCAAGAAAAGCGGGCAGACAAACCGACGGTCTGTCTCACAAATATGGAAAAAGAGATTAACACTAGAAGACTGATGCTAGTTCTTTGCAGGGTGGCATTAATATTTCAAGTGCGATCGGCCCAGAGGCTCGCTTTATCAGACGGGGTGCTGTTGAGACGCCTAGGTCTATTGGTACTGTTATACTCTGCTTATCTCACTGTATGGACAGCAATGGCGCCACCAGACATTGAAGTGGCGAGGACATCCGATGACCTGAAGTTTACGCGCTGTGTAGAGAATTGGTTTGATTTTACGTTCATATTCGGTATGTAACTGATCGAACGATGGTTAATTTCGGACGTCTTTTATAAATTTTCCCTTTTTAAAAGCAGTAGCGTTTATTATTATTATTATCATTTTATTCTTAATACTGATATGGGGCTTCCCTGTGCGCTCACTTTGCGCGCCAAGAGCTCCGCTTCTAAAAATGGTCAATCGAAACCAGGTTCATATTGCAAAGAGCCAATGGGAACACAACACATTATAGATCCTTTAATCGTTTTGTACAATCGCACATTCTGAATAGTACAAGTGATCTGATGAAATTCAGATTCTGCTCTGAGAATGTGATTCACACTTCACTCACGGTGGTAGCTGTAGTTAAGAAGGTTCTGATCTTACTGAGGTTCATTACAAAAGCGCAATTCTCTTTTAGCGTCATATAAAAAAAAAAAAACCACGCAGCCAGTTCCAAGCGCAGAAAACCAGAGGGAGGAAGTCAATAATGTCTTATAAACTGGTTGAAAAAGTGGTTCGGGTCTTCTCCCATTAATGACGAAGGCAAATCAGGTAAACCCAAAGTTACATTTAACATTTCCTCCACTAAAAAAAAAGATTTGTTTTAATCATGATTAACGAGTGCAAACCATTTTCAGCCGGGGACATTGTGTTGTTGATTTGGGGAATGTGGCTTTGTTACAAGATCAGAAATGCACCGGCAGCTTATAACGAGAGCAAGTACATTAGCTGGGCCATTTATAACGCTATGTTCGTCACCAGTTTCCTTATGGTGGTCAGGTTTGTGCAAGACTACATGAAATACATTTTGGGGTGTCCTATTTCCTTGTAACCAAGAGAGTTGCATTACCAGACTGAAACTCCCATATATCGTCATATATAGTCCTTTATGAAACGAATCCCTCTCAAGCTAATGCCAAATCCCAGACAAAACGGAGAAAAGCCACACTCAACATTTGAAAGGTAGTAACTGAAAGCAAAAGACACTCCATGCAGATCTCAAAGATTGTCATCGTCGACATTTATAAATGAATCCCCCAAGCGTTTTTCTTTTTAACTCCAATTCATTGATGATCTGCCAAGTCTAACGTGAGTTTCCCTCATTGTTCGGTTGAGCATTTTTTTCAGTTTTGAGTTTTGTTCTTCGGCTTGATATATCTCACCTGCTAGTTCATAAGACTACAACAACTTTTAAAACTCATTTCCGAATCTCAGTTCTAACTGTCAATTTTGCTGCCATACCAGGATCACAACGAAAAGAAGAACCAACCCAGATATGATGTATGCTCTAGACTTTGTTCTGATTCACATGGACTGTTCTACTGTGTTATTTCTGATGTTCATCCATAAGGTAAAGTAAAGCCTGTACTCAAGCCCATTGGCCATGACCCAACCACTTACAGCTAACCCCGGTTTCCATGTAGCATGAAGCAACTAGGAGCATAACTACTCCCCACAGGATGAGATGCTAGTCCATAACATATAAAAAACAGCGAAAGCTGACGTGTGTAGCTGTCTGGATAACATGAGCCAGTCTGAGTTAAGCCTTCTGGCCCACCACTCACACGGCTTTGTTGCAAAAACTTAAAGGAAAAGTTTCTTTTTCTGATTTGAAAAAAAAAAGTAGAGTTTTTGTATTTGTACAATTCTCTTTAGGTTCTCCTGTGTGCTCCTGCCTAATGAGTCCTTCTTAGCCACGATTAAATGTCCATAGCAAGGTTACCTTCTATCTCGATCATTCAAAAGATAAGTCTCTTCTTGTAAATGCCAACCAGCCTTATGCTATACCGTGTGCATTGTGCGTTTGTTTGGCTAAAAAATCCACAGTACTTTAAGAAGATACTAAAATTGACTTCCAAATAAAATTTAATTTAAACTTAAACGCCCCCAACCCTTAATTAATGAATTAGAACACCGTATTTGTGTCAAAGTAACGAAGGGCACAAGATCAAAGACAGGGGAGGAGGTTTGCCGAGCGTTTACAGGACGTTTTTAGTCTGGATGTCTTTTAAGTGGCCAAGATGGCCAACTATTATAAGGGATGTAAGACCACTATGAGATTTGATTTATTTTCGTCAGATTGTAGCATCTTATGTGGGAATTTTCCCTTTCATTAGTTTTTGTTGTTACGCCAAATGCAAAAATCAGTGAATAACGCTGTTCCATCAAACAACAACAACATGCTTGTACCAGATGACGAAATTGTTGTGGAAAGAATACCTTATAATCAAGAGGACTTGTTGATGAAAGAAAACCAAGTATTGAAGGTAGGACAATGACACTCCTTTTCTAAGATGGTCGGAGGTGCCTTGATCAGATGGACAGAATGAAAGTGCGTGCGCTGACTTAAGCGATTACTTTTTAACGGCTCAGCCTTATTTTTGGATCAATTACCCATAAACTGGAACTCATGCTAATGCAATGATTTTTTGGATCCTGCATTGGCACGTCTACATTAATTACAATCAAACAGCAGAAAGGAATTAATAAAATAGGAACAAGCCGAAAAAAAAACATTTTCCTGTCATAAAATCATCTAAAACATGTTAAAGGTCACACAATTGACACTCTCTCTGCAATTTGGATTTAAAAGCTTCTTCAGTCCAATCCGAAACCAGTAAGAACAGCCTAAAGAAGATACGTACGACCGGTCTAAGCGCCAGAGAAGGCGAATGACTAAATTGGAACATTTTAAGTTTGTATCTGTTAAAAGATTTCGGCGGACAGGTTGAAATCCTCTTTGCCACACAATTTGGTTACTTAATGACCGTTTACTTTAGAAGATAGACTTCTGAAATATGTCACACACCGCTGAGTGCGCGGGTATTTAAAAAACAGACACAGTTTTTAAACCTTCTAAATAACTCATCACGTGATATGACTCGACAACGAAGTGAACTCGCTCGCCCAAAGCTATTTATCCTTTTAGCAGGTGGCGAGGATTTCTTTCTCTAAAACAACTGAAAATCATTGTGAAGCAAATGCAATGCAAAATCACACTAGAAATTTGAGGGAAAAATGCTTTATTTGTTCTTCTTCCATTATAGACGGATGCGACTAAATTGTTAGACTAAGTTTACTATGAAACAAATATTTACTTTTCTGAAAAGGACGAGATGCGGCGACTGAGTGAAAAACTAGCTGTTCTTCAGTCTCACCTGATGACAGATGACAACCATCCAGTAGATAGTATAACCTCTCGCCGACGACAGCGAGCTTTCACCGCACCTGTTAAAGAAACAGGAGGTGATCTGAAAGCAAAACGACTGCCATTACAGCTGCCACCATCACAGCTACCTCACTACCAACGAGACAAGGAAAAGTCCTCCAAGAATCTGATGTCCGATGTTAATGAAAGCCAGGAAGCGAGTTTTCCACAGGAGCTGAATCAGGCATCATCTTCAACATCATCGCTCAGTTCGGTTTCCGTGCATAGCAGAGAGGTTTCCCAGAAAAACGCATCTGATTCTCAGTAACAGTTGGCTTTGTGCATAAAAACTTTCCGGAGTGCCTTGCAAAACCAACAGTTTGAACTTTACTAAAAACCTCACTGATTAGAGATTTCTCTCTATTAGAACGCTTTTTTGATTGTATCGTAAAACCAAAACCAAAGTAACCACAATGGCCTCTTAAAGGTATTTTCATTTCGGAAGCAATAAAAATACCTTCAAGAGCCAATGAGAACTCGAAGTAAAACCGACGAACACTACCAAAAGCACGGGAAAATGTGAGCAACCAAGCCATGATTGGTTTAGGTATTACATCTGATTGGTTGAAAGACTGCTGCGAGTTATTTTGGACCAATCACAGAGCGAAGTAAAGCAAAAGCAAAACAATCCCTGATTACTTTCGACATTCTACTAAAAATTGCTCCAGCATGTCAAACGAAGTTCCTAAAGGACTTAGTAGGATAATGTTTATTTTTAAAAACTTCCACTTTAATCCAGACCTCGCAACAGCAGACGAATCTGCCTCCAGCATATCCCGAGCTATGGTCGTTTGTCTAACACTTGGCACAGTACCTTGAATATGCCAATGTTTCTTTTCTGTTAATTTGTAAATTACAAGCACTATTTAAAAACGATAATTTTAATTTTCAATGGATCCAGAACCGATTTCTTGAGACAGATAAGCCTTCTGTAGATAAGCGCGCCATTTTAGAGTATCTCACTCTATCCTTTAACAATGAATTCAACAAAGAAATGAAAACCGCACTACACTCTTTGTGGACAAAGGGGATTAATGATAATAAAATCACGCCTTAAATGGGAGAGAGATTACTAGGCTTTTAATTTATTAAAGATTTAGGATAAGTTCAAAGTGTTTTTTTTCCAGCTAAAAGTTGGCTAAGTTTTTCTTACTTAAAAAAAGAAACATATATAAGAAATTTAAAGACCCTTGGTAAAAATGTAGTATAAAAGTTGTTTCAACACAAGTTTTTAAAAAATTTCCAATTTTTTGGGTACAAATACTCTAATTGTTGTAAAGTAACATTTAGCTCCCAGAGAAAGCTACAAATAAAGTAACTTATTCAGTGAGTTAATTAGTTATAACCTTCATTATTCGAGTAATTTTAAGAGCTAGGGGTTTCATGGGGTGTCCCCAAGTTCTTGAGGTTGCCTTTTAGTCAAAAGGAAACCATGCACTTAAAAAACAATCACCTTTGAAGTTCAATAAACTTTGTGATCTAGGAACAGCCACAGGGATCCCCACATGCCTGTAGATCAGCCCACATCTCTCGCAGTTCCTCGGGTTCATTTTCAGGGGAAGTGAAAGTTCCCGTATCACACTCGCGTCCACATGACCAGCGGTAATCCTTCAAAGAAAAATCCACACTCATGGAGCATCAGCGGTCAAATCTGACAAGCGGCAAGGATTCAAGTACCTAGCCTGTGTTATTTTTTTTCTGTCGAGGCAGTTCAACTGCATTCAAGATTGAACTCATGACATAATACAGACATAACCGCAAAAAGAAACCAAGCTTGATCATGATCCTTGTGAAAAATAATACAAAATAAGAAAACAAGCTGACTTACATTGACTAAGTTTGGTCCCAACGCCGAAAGCCAAATTCCAACAGAAACATCTTCACCCTGCAGAGGAAATGAGTAGAATTGCTTACACTCAGTGGTGTAAAGCGCTTTTGGATGGAGTTCCGGAAACTAGAAGCGAAAGTGATCGCCACAGCCAATAAGAACAAAGATGGATATCATAAGGAAGCTATGAAGAACTTGGATTAAATGATTTGGAAACGGCTCCAAGCGCGCAAAATCGCCGTGACCAAGTCGAGATTTAGTTTTGAGGGTGATGGTTCAGAAAATGAAGAAAGTTTTCAAGATCATTCACGAAGCAAAGCGAAAAAAACCTTCTGCAGAATTGGTTTACTTTCGATTCTTGATTGAAAATTTCATTTTGCGGAGAGATTATTCCCCGGGGCCCCTTGGGTAGTATATTAATGAGGCGCATCACTACCTGGTATGGTTTAAGGTTGTCGGCGTTCAACGCCAGCCATCTCACTAGGTCAGCAGACAACACATTACCAGCGCCACAGGCGAATGACGGGTACACAGGAGCGGTGTAGTCAAGTTCCCGCCATTTTCCTACGCGCTCCACTGGCCAAGCAGTGCGAAACCTGTTGGGAGACGAATAGCGTTTACAGTGGCAAACACCGAAAACTCTCTGTCATGAAATAAACTGAGAACGTGCGATGAAATTACTTTCCACCCTTTACGTTGTAAGTTCCCTTGGTTGCATAAACCGCAAATAAGCAACCAATGGCCTGGCCCTTGCCCGAAGTTCACTTAGTACTTATCACCTCAATAGTAGCTCTAACTGTACATCCACAATACATATCGACTGAATTAAGTTAAATAAGATATTTCAGTATAAGTCACAGCTAAATACCTGCTCCACCAAGTGCGCTCTTTCCCTCGCAACTTTCTATCATTGAGTCCCTGGAACAACAAATCAAGAAAAAGCTGAACAGAGTACGCGAGGAAAATAAGTAACCGGCATATGATAGAAAACACGATTGCAACTGAGCTTAAAGCCCACTTTTACCTCGACAATTGATTCTAAGTGCACAAAGCAGTCATCGTCGGTTTTGAGAGTGAAGTTAAACTTCATATTCAGTGCAACCCTGAGTAAACAGAAAAGCAGAACATTTTACCAAGAAGACACCAGGACGCAATCATAAATACCAGAGGGGTATATGAAGAGAAAAACAAAATTTAACAAAGGTGGTTGGGGGAAACGATTGGGACAAAAGACGGTGGAGAGACAGAAAAGCGAAGACGCAGAGGCAAAGGTGAGCAGTGGAGAGGTACAAGAAAGCAAAGCAGCAAGTGACTGAAGTAACAGAAAATTACCAAGAGAAAACACAGGGATGAAAAACTAATGATCGAGCGTGGAGCGAACAAACGAGCGAATAACGTAAGCGTTGGCAACACAAATTAATTCAAAGGACATAAACAATTCTCACCAAGAATAAAATTTAAGTAATTTCATTGGAAGGTTTCGGTAAACATCTACAACGTCCACCATCAAAATATCATCATACAGCTGCATCTCTCGTTCCAATTCTTTTTCTTCCCGCAACAAAACTTTATGCCACATTTTCGTTCTTTCAGTCCTTTCTCTCTTCCTTTCCTCCATCGTTTCCTTCGTAAATTCGTCATCTACAACTGAAAAGTTCACTGCTTGAGGACGTAACGTCTTACCACAAATCACACAGAGCTAGTTTGAGTCTCAGCTTATGCATCTCAGAGGAGAAGTAATTACTCCAGAGACCGTCTAATTATTTTTTACCCACCAGCGATCATCACCTCTGCGAGAAAAGGTGTTCATATAATCGGTAATATGTGGACAAAAGCTTCCCTCTACCAACCGTCGGCTAACTGTCGGCCGACAGGCAATTGACATACGACACATAACCGTGAGCCTCCAGACAAGTTACAAGTTGACCATTACTAAAATTTTCGCCGACAAGTTGTTTCAGGGAGTTATTCTTCGCAATAATCATATTTAAGTTGTAGCATCTAAAAGTGACCTTACCATAAGCGCGGTACATAAATGATCCAGCACCATATTGGTTGTCCTCTTCAAAGAATTTTTCTTCAAATTCTGGGAAAACGCTTTGCTTCACTCCAAAGCGACTCACCTAAAACAAAACCAGAAAACTGGAATCATACTTTCAACACCTAATTCAAAAATTAGTTTAAATTTTGGACTAAAGTGACGGAATTCGCCGAAAAGGAGGGACTGCTCGGAGTCTATTTGTTTTACTGCCTTTAATTGTCACTTACACTGTGAAATGAAATCAAACCTCCACCACTGTCAAATCCACCATGTACCAAAGGGTTGTTACTGCTGGGATCAGACAAACTGAAGTTCTCTCCAACGATGGAACCTTCAAATCCCTGAAAATATATAATGATGAAAAGTCGCTCTACATTTGTAAAACACCAAATTCCGATGCTTAATTGTTGTTCAAAAGAATTCCAGTGGAGATAAGATAAACCAGCCGAACAACTAAGGTAATAATGTAACGCAATGGATGCTGTGCCTAAAGTGGCTTCCTTGGCTGATTTCAACAGCTAACTACATGCGTGAAATCGTACTGTGATGTATTTTTTTTTCTTTTCTATAGTTACAATCGTTTGCAAAAGTAATTGGGACACAAGTCCTCTCCCCCACCCCCTCAGTAACGTTGGATTGTGCAATGGATCAGTGATCTTCAACGTAAAGGGCATACATATCACACTGAAACCTGTAAGATTGTTACTTTTTATCAGTTACTGACTGTGAGTAAACTTATATGCACAAAGATTTGTAAAAATGCATAGCATGTTCAACCTTTGGCAAGAGAAACTGGTCAACAGGTTTAAATCTACTTCCACCAATCAACTCTCCAGGTTCATCTTGGGTAAAGTTCACACTCAGTACTTCCGCCTGCCAATAAAAAATATTACATTCATTCTAAGTCGTGAAATGCTCTTTATAGAGGAAAAAAAACTATTTGAAGAGACATTTACAGAAGAACATATCTGCCATGGACAGAATGTAATCCTGAAAATGAGACAAGTACAATGATCAACAATCAATCAACAATCCCACGATACTGACAAGAAGAGTTTGTTGAACAATCAAGAGCCTCTTTAGTTAATGATCATTTCCCTTATTCTCTGACTTTCATGTGTGATTCAGGGTTGATATTGTAAGGAGAAATTAGATGCTAGTCAGACATAGAGTTTAAAGGGTTAACCCCCTACCTGTGAGACTTTGTCATAAAGACGAACTGTCAGCTGACTTTTAATTCCATCTGAATTGCTGTCAAATACTCCAAGCTGAGTGATAATTATAGGAAAATTCACCTTCAAGGAAATAAATCATATATCTAGTTAACAAGTGAGACAACTGTTCGGTGTAGATGGCCAAGCATTTACAGGATTCAGTCTTGTACAAATCATTGAAACAAACAATTGGGAAATTCTTAATGGAAGTTTATACTGACAAGCACCTAACTGTGTACAATTAGCCAAAGCTTATCCTAACTGCTATGGCATAAAGCAACTGAGATAACTGCTTTGCCCACAAAATGAAAAGTCAATTGCTTACATTTTACCTGCAAAATACATTATAAGATTTCTCCAACAGTTAAGCAACAGCTAGCCTATACTGTTATTTTTATTACTGAAGGAAGAGAGGCATTGCAGAGGAAATAAGTTCCTTATCCAAGTGTTAAGTGTCTGGTCCACCACCTTCCCACTTGTAGTTAGCACTCCCCACAAAGAGTTACCCTTTAGAATTCCTGCTGGAGCTTCTATCTGATAGCTACTCAAATCACTTACCCTGAAGTCCATACCCAAGGGGCCATTGTGATAGTGATATCCAACTGCTCCTTTAGGAACCATGTAAGCTATGATGTCTTGCTGCAGTACTGAAAAAAAGTTTTCAATTAATATTAACAACTGAGTTGATGATGTTAATTGGCTACCACAAAGGGTTTGTAAGCTAAAATTCCAAGCAACACAGCAACACAGCTGATAAAACCAAATTATCTTGTATTACCCCCAAACCATGTAGCACCACTGTCAGTTCCTTTAGAAACTTACCCCCTTTATTCAATGAAACCACCTCCAATATGCAAAAGTACATTTTGAACTGAAAGTCTTCAATGCACCCAGCTCATAAGAACAAAGGTGATAGGTTTTATCCATTTTTAATTATTAACATGTAAAGAACTTATGTCTAATTTAAGAGTGAGAAAAAGTTAGGCCGCAATTAGCAGTCACAAAAAAAGTTATATTTTCCTTTTAATCTGCTGGTGATTAGTTTTAAACTCCCACAATTAAGGTTAAACATTGATATTATGTATTGATAGTTACTGTAATATCAAAGAAGAAAAGTATGAAAGGATTATAATACCTGGGTCAACAACAACGTCTGGTTCACAGGAATACTGATCAAGCCTGTCTAATGCTGGTATGGGACATGGCTGACTGCCAACTATGAACTTGATCAATATCCTGTGGAGCATTTAAAGGAAAACTGTAAAGATTATGACAAACATGTACACACAGGATTACTAGGCATTGTAACTGCATTTTCATAAAATTAATCATTACATAAAGACACTGTTTACAGAATTTTCCAATCATACAGCTATTAACTGTGCATATACCAGTAAGCCATTTGAAATATCAAACACTTATTATCAAGAAAACAAATATTACAGATATATAGAGCATAGAGAGAGATGAAAACAAACCCAAATATACATGATGATGTACCTTTGCCCCAGGGAGGGGTGTTGTAGGGCATGTCCAACCCATGTTTCTCTGAGTGCTTGGCGCTGCTCAGTATTACCCCTTGCTGATAAGATACCAATGACTACATCATAACTTGGTGGTAAAGAGAAGTTTCCTAAGGATGAACAAAAAGCCTCTCTGTTCAGTATGTTTTCCATTTATAGACCTCTGGCCACTCGTGTCAGAACTGTAAGCTAGTTAATGCCAACAATTTTATACCAGCACCCATCATATTCCTAGCCATTCTACAGAATAATGAGATCTTGTGTGAATAGAGCCATTTGAGGTGCATCTCAATCGCATGTGTGGTAACAATACTGCCTCTTAGCTCTACAGGTGCCTTACAGATTGCTATAATTCTGGCATAAACAATGATGGTTTTAGAAAAATTATTCATACTTCATGTGCAGCTACCATACTCTGCAGACTGCAAAGCATGATTTACTCTTTAATTGAGGTATAGACTCCAATGCTCAACACATGCAAATATTAAATAATTTCATTTGAATATCCATTCGCAAGGGAACTCACTGTAGTAACCCTCACGATAGAATATATCACAGTTTCAATACATCACTGTTAACCCCCCCCCCCCCCCCCAGCACCCCCTCCCTTGCCTCCAGAGGAAAGAAAACATAAAAGGAGAAAAGAAAAAAGGAAGCTTTCTTACTCTTTCAGCTATTAAAAAGAAATTCATTTTGGAAAATACAATCACGTATTCAAAATTATTTAAGATACATTTTCAGGGAGATGTCTCCTGCTAAAGAGAGAGGGAGGAACCTGAGGAGGCAAATGGAGAGGCCACTCTACACTAATTTTTTAATGACGCAGAACAACGAAAGAAACCTCAGAAAATGAATCAGAAAAGTAACTAACCATTTGAAAATATTCCATTGACCTCTTTATCAGTAAAATATTCGGTTACTAAGATCAGTTGCCAGGCAATGCTCATTAAAACGATGAAAAGTTTCCATCCTCCCTGCATCGGGTTCTAAGGGCCGAAAAGTGCAACCACACGAACAACTAGTCAGCGTAAAGGTTTTTGGTACATAACCCTTCATTTACGATGTCACGACTAATTCCTTCGTGAAGTGGAATTTGTCATGAGCTGCATCGTGTTAGCTAGAGGACGACTTCTGGTGAGTATGTGTCGGAAAACTTTCCATTCCTCACCAATAACCGGCTTGTTTATCATAAAAGAAAATTTTAGTAATGTCTATGTACCCTGCTTGTTTCATGGGGGCCGAGTTAAACAGCGATATATCCCGTAAGCTGCCGTTCGCATCATTCTGTAGAGGAATTTTTACATGCTAAATAGGAAATCGTAGTAATTAAGTATTGTTATTATTATTTCCTTAGGGTCTGCTACCTCGTGGAGTTTCCCTTAGATCTCTTCAAATACAGGCTGAGTCTGAAGGTGAAAAAAAAATTGCAGAAATTTTAAAACAGAATTTCAGTGCTTCACAAATTGCTGTCAAGGACATCTCAGGTTGGTATACGCGAAGGTTTCATAAACAAACTGCAAAGAGAAGGAAAATCGGTCATTATTTTTTGCCAGGGGGAGGGAGGAAGGGAGTTGGAAGAATTTGGGCTGATCCACCCTCCATTTCCCCCGGAAGCTATGTGATCCCAAAAATCCTCTCCCTTCCCTGCCATCAAAAGACAACTGGCCACTAGTAAAGAAGAAGAGAAAGCAAACAAGCAAAATTAAAAACTGTGCATAGTGGGATTGAGGTATCTTTTCAAAGCAGTGATTACTGAATTAACATACAATGTGAAAAATAATGACTGCATTCAGTCATTTTGCTCTTTCTTTAAACTTGCATACAGGAGGGTGTGGTGCCATGTATGAAATATTTGTTGAATCTGAAGACTTCAGAGGAAAGAGACAAGTGCAACAGCATCGCCTTGTCAATAAAGTAAGTATAGATTTTCAATTTGTCGTTATTTTCTACAACTCAAAAACCTTGAAATTGCACAAGTTTGAAAATCATTTTATTTCTTGCTTGTTGAACATATTAATCTGTTATTAATCCATTATAACCCAATATATATCTCTTAATGCCCCTTTTTCTCTTTACTGACAAGGAGAATTTTATTAACAATCAGGAGCTTCCTAAATTGATGATTGTTTCCTTTATTCTCCTAACCCTTGCATTTGATTCAAGGCTGATATTGTTAGGAGAAAATAGATACCACTCACTTTTAGAGGTCAAAGGGTAAAAGATTCTCGATAATGCTACATTTGATCTCTCCTCACTGATAGAATACAAAGTGAAATATAGTTTTTAATCATATTACTGTGCAATTATTATTATTGATCATTAATTTTTTTTCTTTCAATTATAGGCCCTTGGAGATGAAGTCAAAAGTATGCATGGATTGAGGATTTTCACAGCAATTCCTGAGGAAAAATAGTGCTAACTTGGCAAAATTAAATTGGGACAAAGTACAAAGAGATCTACATCAAGTCAATTTTGAAATGGTGATATCTCATCAACACTCTGCAACAGATCCTACACTGAACGCAGCTGTGAATATTTCGTCTATTTTTCTGTTTTTTTTGTATGTTTGTTTGTTTTTTCTTTAACTTTCATATATTTTCTTTTAACCTAAAAACAATATTTTCATCACTAAGCCCACTTTTGAAGCTGGAAAGACTCCAATATTAAACCTCATTTCTCAACTGTTGTACCCTCCATATAGCTTCAAATGTTCTTTTTGCTGGTAACAAACCTAGGACATGAGCATGACAGGCTAACAAACGCTTGACATAAAAAAGAATATCAGACCATTAGTGGAAGCCAAAAAAATCTAAAGCAATCATTCACAGCCTTCATTTACCAGGGTGGAAATATTGAAACTGCAATTTGCTCTGTAAGGAGCAGACAAATGCTAATCTGCAATTTGAAACTGCAGTTTGCTCTGTAAGGAGCAGACAAATGCTAATCTGTTGACTAAACAGTGTATCTTTGGCTTTGTCATCTTGAATAAAAAAAATAATGGAAAGTGGTGTATGTGTAGTGATCATGAGTGGAGTTAGGTTCAGCCCTCTTAAACTAAGATGACCCAGAAAGAAAGAAAGAAAAAGATCTTTATTATTAAAAAGAAACACGTCCAGAAACAAAAAGTCTGGACTTACAATTTCCTACATATATCTATGTATTTTGTATATACAAGACTAAGTAACTACACAAATTCGAAAAGACATCTATTAAAAAAACAACATTTAAAGCGTTCGGTTCTGACTGGAGGCAGGATGTAATTATGTCCTCTATTCCTGAGGCTCCTAGCTCTCTGAGCTGGTAAAAGTTCATAATTGCAGCATCGCTCTTAACTCTCACTGATGTCAATTTGTATACCAGTCACTAATCAGAGCTATTATAATTGCAATAATCATGGATAACAAGAGGTCAACTCTTATTGAACTTGATAAATATTGACGTAAATGAGAGTTCTCATCAAATAAGCCGTGTGAAAAGATACTGTACATTAAGTGAAGGTTCTAAGTGGAACAGTTTTTTTGTTGGATTCTTTGCCTGTGTAAAGTTCATTCTTCAAGTCTTTTTGTCCTGTCACTGGCAAACGTTTATACTTATTGTTTCATTAGTGCCTTTTTTGTCATTTTATTGCCATCTTAATGCTGCCTTATTGCTACTTTGCATAATTTATGGATGTACACATAGCAATAGTTTGCTTGTTTTCTTGTTTTTTGCTCTAAGTGCAGTTAAGTAACATACTGCCGCTTTCACTCATCCTTTTCATTTTCCTTTTTTTTTTTCGGTCTTAGCTGTATCAATCTTGATCTTTTCTATGGCCGTAACAATTTAAGTGTTTTATAGTCCTCTTTCTGTAATGTTTGTTATTTCTCTACATCATATATTGTGTAACTTTTGTAATCGTATGTTATTTAAGTTTCAACTTGTGTCACTTATGCCATTGAGGAATGAAAGTGAATTGTACCTATTTCAACATGATGTGGAGTTGTTTATTCCATTGCCACGAATTTTGCGCAGTGCAGTTTCAGTAAGTACAGAAAATTTTTGATGGCAAGCACATGGTCAATTTGCCCTAAGTGTACTGAGGATTCAAAATTTATGAGTCAGACCAATTTTTTTTAAATGCAGTTTATACATTTAATGGTACATCTCTCTATTTACATTTCAAAAAAAGTAATAAAATTCAAACAAAGCTTTTTGGTAAAAAATACTACTGCAAATCTCTTGTATGATAGCCAGATTTACTAATTTGGGCTGTGTGAAGATTCTTGAGTAAAACAAAACAAACAACCAAAAAAACAAAGTTTGACCAAAATCTCCAAGAGCTTCCATTACAACTTAGAGCCATGATCAAAGCATCAAGGAGCTTGCAAAGAAGTACATCCATAAAGATTTGAAGGTCATTCATGTCAAAATTACTATGCTGTAAGTTGTATTTCCAAATGCTTTAAATCATTCAGAAATAAACCCTTTTGATGAGGGGATTTCAGTTGATACACTGTTCACAACTTTGCCCACTAGTAACATGTGACCTATTCTCCACATAAACTGTTTCATCTCTACTAAGAATGGTATGTGTAGCTTTGTAAGCCATTGTAACTGCGCCTAAACAATTGCACTTTTGTTGATGGCTGTCTCAAGCGAACTTCCAAGGAAACTGCAAAATGAAGTATTGAGAAGCATCCTGGCTGCAACATTCTTTCTTGAACTTGAGCTCCTGGCAATTGTCAACTGTGTAATTTGTGCCTATCTCGGATGGTTTTCATCTCATCTCTGAGACTAAAGAGAAAGATGAAGAAAAAGATAAGTCACCCGACACTTACAGGCTAATGATTTAATATTGTCATCTTACTATATCGCTGGCAGTGCCTGTTGGCAAGCTGAAGTGAATCCTACCTACCACAGCAGGCTAGATGGGTCCATCTTGGCTGCTAAGGATTGCCCAATTTGATCCCGTGCAAGAAAGAAAAAACTCCTTAATTTTTGGACAATGTGAGCCTGGGGTTGCAAAAGGCAGCAGAATACACTCGATCTATAATTTTTTTGTCAAAGTAAAAATGTATCTACATGTATTATCTAACATAAATATTGAGCCATGCAATCTGGACATTAGATTACATTCTGTGCAATGTAGAACTCAAATAACAAACAGTAACTCTAAAATCTAAGTTACCTCTCCAAGATGCACATAGATGTCAATTACATGTTCAATTTTGAAAAAATATATCAAGTTGCTTTTTACTTCATGTCAGATTTGTAGTTATTATTGAAAAATGATCTGAAAAGTTATTATCTGGTAATCTACAAAACATTTAAGAAAAATTAGTGAGAAAATTAATGTAACTTTTCCAAAATCATTTCAACTTTGGTCACATAAATACCTTAACAGCAAAGGCATAAAGTGATTTTTTATTTCTGCTTTTGTAAGTTCCACCACTTCTTGAACTGAATACTGCAAGGGAAAAATTCAGATAAGAGTGTGTCTTTCTCACCACCAAAATAGTAACTTCCAAGTACATGTAGCACCCAAGCAAAATGAAGAAAAGGGGTAAAAATTCAACAAGACAGATCAGGAAGGAAACTTTAGATATCTTATTCATTTTGAAGATTACATGATTAAATGTAGTACACACTTCAACTTACCTGAACTAAGCTTGCTTGTCTTCTAAAGTGACATTTGCCCTCCTCATCTTCATACACAGGATGGAGGTCAAATTGAATACGGCCTCTCTCTATCTTAAGCTGCTGTTTTTTCCATGGAAACACAGTAATCTCAACCACATAGAGAGAGGGAGGGAATCCCTGAAAAAAACAAACAAACAAACAAAATTTTAAAAATTTCAAGATTTAATTTAACTGGAAAGAGAAACAACAGAAAAGAAATTCCTTGTCTATATTTTATTTTTGAAAGGAAACACAGTAATCTCAACCATATAAAGAGAGGGGGGGGAGCAAGGGTGGCACAGTGGTGACAGCGCTTACCTTCTACTGTGGTTCAGGTTCAATTCACAGACTTGGCATCACATGTGGGTTGAGTTTTCCTTCCCTCACAAAAACCAACACCACAAATTCCAATTAATTTTGATCTGGAGACAATGGACAAGAGGAGCCAGGAGTGGAATGTCCATTGTTTAATTCCCATTTATTTATTTCTTCCCATTGAAATGGAAAGGGCAACAATAGAAAAACAAGTTCTTGTCTATGCTTTAATTTTGTAAGTAATCTTAACAGTAAACACACTTGGTACATGTAAGTGACTTTGGCTTAGTGACATTTTACTAAATATTATATAATAGTAATTTTGTTGGCATTTATGTTAAAACTGCAATTTTCTTTGAAGGGAATTCCTTTTTAAAGATTAAAACTCCCCTCTCAAGCAATAAAAGTTTACTTGCAAAAAAGTATTTTTTTTTTATTGAAACAAAATATCAAAAACTGAAAATGAATAAAAATAACCAGGAAAAAATTAACCCATATCTTGTAAGTGTACAGTGTCTCCTAAATATACTCAATTACCTCAGAAAATTGTTCCTTTGCATGGCTATCACACCAGCAGAAATCAGATGTCCTGAGGATGTGTGGCCTCAAGCGGTTACTGTCCACTTCATTGCAACTATGGTGAACAGGGAGTACATGATCTGACATTACTGTTGTTGACAGTTCAATGTTTTTCGACACCATAGAACTTACACATACATGTAAATGCATTATGGCTAGGATGCTGCAGTCTTGCTTGATTTATATGATTTAATTATATTCAAAAATTAGGTAAACTTTGTTTTTATTTGTGGTATTTTGCACATAATTGTGATCTTCACCCAGCAATATTAAATTTTGGCACTTTTCTAGACATTTTCTATCAAAAAACATCTTTGTTACCCCATTGGTGGAATAGTTTAACCCCTTCACTGCCTGCATGACTTACACAGCATGTAACACAGTTTGCAGTTTGTGAGCCCACATGATGTAATCAGTTTCTTAAAATTGGAGAGTGATAGTCAAATCCCTGGCACTGGAGATGTAAAATGAATTGGCCACTAATACTCAAAACAAGCTAGAATACTGAAAATTAACATTTCAATTTGTGTAAGCACAGGACTTCTCAATAGGGTTGTCAGTTTATGGGTACATGTAAACATATTGTTAAGTTACAAAAGAAAATCACACCTCTAATCTCTATTTTTAAATAATTCCCCACATTGAACATTTTGTGCAGAAATTTCATACAAACTGACCTATCATCTTGAAGATCAAGGAACGCTGTTGACTCATCTACTTTTTCTTCAGAATCAATGACTGGTATAATCTCAACCTTGATATCATAAAATAAATAAAGAATTGTTGTCTACAGTTGCAACATGTTTCATTTCTGTTTAACTCTGATAGCTAATCCTTATCACCAAGAGAAAATCAAAGCAGAGCTTCAAGAATTAATGATCACAAGATTGATCCTGCCAACAGCTTACTTTATAGCATTCTTCAGGGACAGGAGGAGTGTATCTACTCAAGGCATCCTTAACTGCAATTCTGACATGATCTCTCTAAAGACAAAACAATTAATATTATCAAAAGTCAGAGGTCAATTACAGAGTCCTTGCTCAACTTTAATCATTACTGACATTGCAAATTCAAATTCAATTTTTCTCACCTGATATTGTGTGAGCAGTAAGCCTTTCACCTTGCCTTCATCCACAATCCCAAGATAAATGGTACCACCTTTACCAGTATTTAAAAACCCATTGATATTCCTGAAAAGAAGGAACATTGGGTGATTATGCTCATGAAATAATGCCTTGATCAAGATTGATTTTTTTTTCAAATTCTCCTCCTCCTCCTCTCTGGCCAAAATTGTGTTCAAATGCCCCACCCAAGTGCCAGATTTGATCATTATTTCTTTTGTAAAAGGCAAGATTATCCACCACTACTTTCTTGTTTTGTGACTTTCTTCCTTCTGCTCAAGCCATCTGCTTGAGAAAGTGAACACCATAATATTAAAAGATAAAACATGTTTATTCTGCTGGAAAAGCTAGACAGTTCTGGGTCAAATTCCACACCCCACCCTGGCAAGGTTCAAATTCTCCACCTCCCAGCTCTTTATCTCTCTCTCCTTAGCTGTAAAAAAATTCAGCTAGGAGATGTCACATGGATCTCCAAAAAACAAATACAAGCAATAATGCATTATCCGAAAAAAAAAAAAAAATTCTGAGAAAGGTCAGTGGTTCAGTTTGTTACGCAATATTTCACAAATTTTTTTTCAATCAATCAATTGATCACTCTTTATTGTACTCACTCTTGCTCAAAAATAAATTACAACAATGAAAATTTTAAAAGTAAAAGTTAGAGTGCTGGCTGCCTGGAATAACCATGGGGGCTAGTGGAGCCACGTTGACTTTTTTTTATAGTAGTTGGTTATAATTAGAGTTTGCAGTGGTGGTAGACTTCTTCACTTCATCAATTGATTTGCATAGAGGCTCTAAAGCCTTCTCCAACAAATTCTTGAATTCTTCTGTTGTTAGACCGTAATGGTATGTATAAAAAAGAAGAAAAAAGAGGAAAATGCAGCTTTGATAAGCTAAATTCGCTGTAAATTTAATGAAGCTCAAAAATTACTGCCATCTTTCTTGCTGACTGCTGACCGCTGACTGCTGACCCTACTCAATTAACTAAAACTTGTATGAAAAAAGATGAGCTTCTGGTTTATAAAATACTGTAGACTATCTTATCTTTTGAAAATTTACATATGTAATTGTCAGCACAGTAAACCCACTGGGATCCTTAATTTTTTTGTTTTGACTGTCTTCTGTCCTTTTGAATCTGCAACTCCATTGCCAATGTTGTCCAAAAATTATGAACTTTGTAAGTCTGTTCAACCCATTGTTTTTTTTGCGCAGGATCTCAGCAAGAAAACCTGAGTGGGCAAGGCGGGCCAATCTAGTCTGCTCAGGTAGCCAACCGATATCAGAACACAGGATTCACTTTATATTGCCCACAGGCGCTGCCAGCTACATAATAACAACTATTATCACCCACACTTTTGCCAGTGGGAAAAAATCAGCAAATGAGCTTCACTTTTTCACATTTATCACTTTCATGGAAAAAGATAATTAGTGATAGTGACATTTAAATGCTGATCTCAATTGCGGCTTTCAGGAAAGTGTAAAAAAGTAAACAAAATTTACTGTTCACATGCGAAAATTAACGGCCAAAATGTTCAATTTTCAGACAATTTCTCAGCCACAAACATTATCAGCCGACATACCAGCTGCCTGAATGGGTTTATATACTTAACACATGCAAATCTATTTTAAGCTTTAAAAAAAAGTGGACGATCATGTGACAGTCGCGCAAGAGTTCCTGTCACGACCAGTTTTACCGGTTTTTACAGCCTATGTAAATATAAGTTTATATATCACATAACAATAATTTGCTGACCCCACCATACCACGGTTCATGACACATTATCAACCTTTTTATTCCGTTAAGTATAAAATCAAAATATTGAAATAAGTGTACTGTTGTGGCATCTATGGAGATATTTCTGAGGATAAACTTGAATGTATAACTACCTTGATACCGCCTTTCGTGATCGCCTGTCTGTTCCTGGAATATAACACCATGGTGGAACCTCCTCTGCACTTATGTTTCTGTGACCCTTAAACTCATGAGTGGAGTCTTCTTCAAATGGAGCAACTGAGTTTTTGAGATAAAAACGTCGAGATATCTCAGAAAAACGAGTCATATTCGACTCCACGCGCCAGCCGAAGTGTCGGCTTCTCCGCTCGGCCCAGGTCTCCGTAGCCTCGCTTTGACCATATGCCTTTTTCTTGATTTCCTTGTGTCTCAACAGCCGCCATATTCTTGCAATTGCCCTTAGTGCTCCTTTTTCTGTGGTACATACCTTTTCCCATCAGAATGTTTCATGCATGAGGCTTTTCCATGATTTCTCACCACAGTGACTGATAGCGTTATTGTAAAGAAAATAGCCGAGAAAGTGGTAAGAATTGTTATCAAAAATTGTTCAAAGAGACATTTGGCTTTGGAACGACGCCGGTGAGCTCGCAACTGCCGAAGTTTCAGTGCTTGGAACTCATTGTAAAGGGGTGACACGCAAACAAGAATTATAACACGCTCAATATTTTGGCTGGTTTATCAGACCTGCAACCGAAGAACTTTTGCTTTGGCAAAAACTGCCGAGAAGAAAGCGTTTATCAAAACGATGGCGAACACAGCTCGTGCCAGAGTCTACTCGGACGTAAATGTACACCGGCCTAGAGAGTATTGGGATTATGAATCGCATGTTATTGAATGGGGGTAAGTATTCCTCATTCTTTCCCTCTTTGTAATTCACTAGACGTTAAAATCAGTGAGTAAATAGACGCCTTTGTGAAAGCGATATTTTTTCGTTTAAGTGATTAACAATCCAGCTAAGCCTTGGACAAGCACAAGTGTTGTGCACCAACGTGGTTTATTGTCCGAAACGAAGCATGAGAGACGAAACGGTCTGCTATCTAAGGATAATAAACTGTTATTTGCAAAAAGCAGTTTTTATTGAACGTGAAATTCCACGTTTCAATATAGCATACGCATTAGGTTTTGTAATTGCTACATGTAGACTTTTAAGCTGTAGCGTATGCAATTTCAAATTCTATTGACATTTTTGTGCTAAATTATGCGAGATTTCTGTAACCTTTACTTTGATTAACATTGTGTGTACAAGTTATTTTGAAATTTTAGGGGAGAATTTAGGATCTATTTTGTGGTATTATATTATAGAGGCATTAGATGGATTGATTTTTTTAGAATATATTTTTCAAACTTAGTAATCTATTTTAATATTCAAATCAGAGTTGCCATAGAGCTTAGCTCTCAATATTTTTCATCAAGATTAGTTTTATTTGATCTTGAAGAAATGCACTGCCTCAAGGGGGTGGTTTCACATCTGGCTTTCTTTGCTATTACCTTCCACCATGATTTAGCTGCCATTGCAGATAAGCATGTGATTAAGGTATTTAATTCTCAGAATTTACCATCACACATAAGTCATACAACATTCTGAGGGAAAAACAGATAAATATTTAATGAAATTCAGCTGAAGTGCATATAATTGAATTTGCCATTTCAGCAGAGTTATAATATTGCACATGTTACCATGGTCCATAAAGGGAAAACAGTATCTCAAAATTAGCAATCAGTTTGTACATCAGGGTGTATTCATGGGAGTATGAAACATGCTGGAAGTTTTGAGAGAATGAGAGAAGCATTTACATAACCAAATTTAGAAGGCAACCACTGAAATGAAGCCAAAAATATGCTTATTGTGTAGAACAATTGTTAATGCATTATCGCATGAAGATGTACTCGTCAACATTGAAAATTTTCTGTTTGTGTGCGGAAAAAGCAACTTACATTCTAACCTTAAATGCACATGCACATTGATGTTATTTTCTCGAAAACCAAATTCTGGAAGTGCTTGAGTTTGCATCACATCCCATTCCCTTTCCAAGATTTGTTAATTAATGGCTGGTTACATGGAATGCACTTCAAATCCAGGAAAATTTCAAAAGTCCAAATTTTTACCTTTTAGGAAGCTATAGCACAGACTGGGAGATTTGCTGTATATCTGAGAAACTAGTGAATACATCAGAAAAGTAAATTCTTTATTTTGTTATGGGCATGTGACAAAATGACCATAACAATTTTGAAAAGAGCTCTAATCAATTGCTGCTATCTTCCATACATTGTGATATAAATGCAATTCATGGCCATGTGTTTCCTCTATTTCATTTTTACTTTCTTTTCCTTTGGATTAGAAGGGATTACTTATCAATATCTTGAGGTAGTTTGTTTATTACTAGTCAAAGTAAAAAAATAATAACAATAAATAGTATGCTGAACATATGTACAGGGGAAATTGATTTTGTGATTTTGTAGAGAACAGTATCAAGAGTGCTCTGTAATTTTTGAGTTACACTTGTGTTGTTAAAGCTAATGTTTAGTATCTATTTTTGTTCAGTCAACAAGATAACTATGAACTTGTTCGCAAACTGGGTAGAGGAAAATATAGTGAAGTTTTTGAAGCAATAAATGTGTCAAGTGAGGACATGGAGAAAGTGGTTGTAAAAATTTTAAAGGTTAGTATTTACTTTGTCTTTGGTGTGGTGTGAGCATGTATGCATTTTGCAGTGCAGTATGGTCAACTTTAGTGGTTTACATGTGTATTATGGTGGGTACGGAGACCAGGAGATTTGTTTGTTATGCAAGAGGCTTCTGGGTAATTCAAGAGAGATCTAGCATTTATAATGTTAAGGTTACTAGAAGTCATAGCACTATGCTTCATCAGATGTGTTCAGATGTACATCTGGAGTTTGTAAACCATAGTTGAACACCTGTGCAGTGTTGTGCAAGGAGTACAAACATGTTTCTGTACAAACTATATATCGGAGAAAATCCATGAATAAGTGTAACCAAATGGAAGTAGTAATTTTGGTAATTTGTACAGTTTCTCAGCGTATGTTCCTTTGAATTGTTGATCCAACACCATTCATGTGCCAATCAGCTAAGAACTTTGTTATGCCATGTATTAGAGTTGGGGTTGGAAAGAAAAATCTAATTTTGCAAACCATGGGACATACTCCTTTAGAAATTGGTATTGATCAGCAAATGCTGATATACCAAACCCCCCTAAACACTACTAAATATATGTTGTATTTTAAAATGAATTTAATGCCAAAATGATTTAAAACTAGTTTTAATTGCTTTCCTTTTTGTACCAGGCACATTGATACAATTGTTACTACCAGTAGTTGTAGATATAATAACCTGAAATCATTTTAAACTGGCAGCTGCTAGTGAACATTCCAATTTAGAAGGGTCTTGGGTAAAAAAACAGACGAGATCAGCCTTTACTCCTAACTAGATGAGTCAATAGTAAACTTTTGATGATTTTTAAATTCTGTGATGCATTGGAATTTCACTTTGAGACTACACAGTAAAAACTTTTACTCCCGTTGGATAAAGGATGCAATTTCCAAACTGTTCTTTTTTCATCAGTTAAGAAACATTTTGAGCAAGATATTGATTAGTAAGAAGGAAGTAATATGTGAACTTTACAATTACATGTAGTTTAAATTATTACACAGGAAGCAGTAAGAATAGTATTGTACATGTATGTACATGGTTAAATCTTGAAACCTTACCACTTGCAGCATCAAATTGTAATTAGATTTAACCATGTTTCGATTCCAGCCAGTTAAAAAGAAGAAAATCAAGAGAGAGATAAAAATTCTAGAGAATCTGAGGGGAGGGCCCAATATTATTAATCTTCTGGATGTTGTCAAAGATCCTGTGGTATGTACAGTATTTTTGTATGATATGTGTTGTAATAAATTGTTTATAAATTTTTAGCATGTCTTCATGTTAACAATTTGCAGTTTTAAAAGTCCAGGTGAAGCAGGAGTATATGTACATGTACATGAATTATCTCAAACCACTTTCTTTACTTGAGGACTATAATTGTGTATCTAGGGCAAAGAAAAAAAAATATAAATCAAACTGCTGAAAAGTCATTTTGACCTTAAATTTATTTGGGACCAAAACACATGCCTGTCTAGTGTGGTTATAATTTTTTCATAGTTTCAAAACATTCTTAAAAATAGGTAAAAAAACCTAAACCAAAACACACACTATGTGCATGTATGTTCATCTACATTTTCTGCACAGGTTACTTGATATATGATTTAAGTTTCAAAGTTGATAGATTGGGTACTCAGTCATTTAAATACAATCCTATAGAAGACTTGCTTGAAAAGTGCAAACAGATTTCACAGTTACATGTATTTCAACACATTTCTATATGTATATGTATTTATTCTTGTGACATACATTTTCTAAAATGTGTCCTTTTTTGACAGTTTACATATTATTTATTTCAACAGTCCAGGACACCTGCATTAGTTTTTGAGTATGTAAACAACACAGATTTTAAGGTGAGTTAGAACAGCATTTACCTTGATTTAATGGATAAATATCATTAATATAACTTTTATGTAAGTTTTAAGCATACTGTATATATATGTGAATAATTATAAATTTGTCTACTTTTCTCAGCAACTGTACCAGAAATTTACCGATTATGACATCAGATTCTACTTATACGAACTCCTAAAGGTAAGTGTACAAAAAAACTTGTACCATTTCCAGTTTACTTAATTGATAATATTACATGTAAGAGAACTCCAACTTAAAGTGATTCCCCTTGTTCTCCTCTCAAGAAATTTAACAATGATAACTGGGACCTTTTTGCATACTTGTATTTCTATTTTCCTTGAAGGTACAAGCTTTCAAGGCCTCTTAGGAGCATGTTCAAAGGAGCCAATTATTAGTTTCTTTTTCATGTCATTCCACTGTAAGCTTTGAGTCTGGTGCAGAAATTAAATACAAAGCTACAGTACTACAGAGTGAATGATTTTTAAATAAATGTATAGGAGGACATGTAGTACTTAACCACTTGCATCAGATCACAAGAACCCCAAACTATGTAGATTTCTTATGTCCTTGTTATGTTAGGTAAAGGGTTCCTTGCTCTGTAAACATGATTCTTATAAACAATTATCAGATGAGGTTTTTTTGATATCCAAAATAATCAGGGTGGAGGTAGGCTAATAACCCTTACTGAGACCTTGATTATTCTGAATATCTCAAAAACTGTATCTAATAATTGTTTTATTATACATCGAACAAAATAAAATTGGTTGAGGACAGTATGTGGAACTGACAATTTATTTCTAAACAAGTGAAATA